AAAAAAAAAAAAAAAAAAAAAAAAAAAAAAAAAAAAAAAAAAAAAAAAAAATAAAATAAAATAAAATAAATAAATTTTACTTTCCATATAAACGGCGACTCTGCTTGGAGTTCACTGCATCTTTCTCTCGCAGAAATTTTTTTTATTTTTTTTACGAGTGGCCAAAGTTTTGGCAAAAATTTTTTGCAAGTTTCTTCTATCCATCCTTCAGCAGCATTTGTTATGATTACTACATTACTGCGTTTGCATGCAAGCCCCAACAGCTTTCTCCCGCTCAGCATCACACGCTCCACTCCCCGCTGCTGCTCTGAGCCAGCAGCACCAGCACCAGCAGCAGAAGCAGCAGCAGCAGCAGCAGCAGATGTCCATACACCCAAACCCATAGAGCTCATCCATGAGTTAGGAAAAAACGTATCGTCCCAGTCAAATATCATCATACGTTCTCGGGGGCCCCCACGCACTCTTTCTCGAACATTCAGTACCCTGGGGCGGGAGGGGTCCCCAGGGGGCCCCTCATCTAGAGCTGGGGCCCCCAGGGGGGCCCCTGGTATTGATGAGGGGGCGGGGGCCCCTGTAGAGTGGTGAGAGCAGCGGCGGAGACGTTTGAAGCCAAGGAGATGTAAACCCTCTATAGACCAACTCTCACATATCTGGAGAGGGCGCAGGCGTCGAACTCTGCTGCCGCGATCCCTGCTGCTGCTGCTGCTGCTGCTGTTGCTGCTGTTGCTGCTGTTTGGGGTTGTGGTGGTGGCAGCGGTGGGGGTGGGGGTGTCTGTCTCCCTGCTCCAGCAGCGACAGCTGTAGGAGTTGCTGCTGCTGCTGCTGCTGCTGCTGCTGCTGCTGCTGCTGTGCATGAGGGCAGACGATGAAGCGCGACGCTGCAGCAGGCAAGCCCCTGAGGATCTGTTGCTGCTCCACCTCCTAGCTGAAGCCCCAGGGTCTTCTGCTGTTGCTGCTGCTGCTGCTGCTGCTGCTGCTTCTTCTGCTTCATCTTCTGCTGCTGCTACTGCTGCTGCTGCTGCTGCTGCTGCTGCTGCTGCTGCTGCTTCCTCTTCTGCTTCTGTGGAGAACCCCGCGACATCCAGCAGCACATTTATCCGTTTCACCTTCCATTCATTCTCTTCTGGCGACCTATTTATGCTGCTGCTGTTGCTGCTGCTGCTGCTGCTGCTGCTGCTGCTGCTGCTGGTATTTTGAGTTGTTTCTATGTCTTGCTGCTGCAGCACCGGGGTGAGGCGTGCGCCCTCTGCGTCGACCCTGGGGCTTCGTTCTTCTTCAGATGCATTTCTGCTGCTGCAGCTGCTGCAGCTGCTGCAGCTGCTGCTGCACCTGCTGCAGTTGCTGCAGCAGCTGTCTTCATCACTCTCCCTGCTGCTGCAGTCATAGTGGCAGCAGCTGCAGCAGCTGCTGCTGTCGCTCTCATACTCGCATGCATGCATTTCCTCTCTTATATTCTGCTGCTCCTGCAGCTCCTCATCTCCCCCGTATTCAAACCCACCAAACGACCAATCATAAACACCCCCACCAGGGGCCCCCTCAGGGGCCCCCTCAATGGGGGCCCCCCCCATGGGGGCCCCCTCCATGGGGGCCCCCTGCATGGGGGCCCCCTCCAGGGGGGCCCCCTCAGAGACGTCCTCATAGGCCCCCTCATAGCTCCCCTCAATGGGGGCCCCCTCTAGGGGGCCCCCCTCAAGGGGGCCCCCGCCGTGAGGGGCCCCCATGGGGGCCCCCATAGGGGCCCCCCCAGGGGCCCCCTCCATAGGGGCGTGCATGGGGGCCCCCTGATGGGCCCCCCTCATGAGGTTCTGTGCTGGGGGCCCCCTAGGGTTTAGTGTTGCAGGCGAGGGGGGGGCCCCCTCAAGAGGAAAGGCCTCGCAGTCTAGCCACTGAACAGCATCCTGCTGCGGGTTGGGTACTAGGGGTATATCTATGTGGATATGGGGGCCCCTGGGGCCCCCATAGAGCGGTGCTGCAGCAGAGAAGAAGGGGTTGCTGCTGCTGCTGCTGCCTGGGGGGCCCCCGCTAACACCATATGCTGCTGCTTCGGTAGCTAAACAACCAAAAGAAGCAGCAGCAACAGACAGACGGGTTGCATGCAGCTGCTCATCTAGGGGGCCCTCAAGAGCAGCAGCAGCAGCAGCAGCTGCTGCTGCTGCTGCTGCTGCTGCTGTAGCGGGAGAGTACTGCTGCTGCTGCTCCTCTACAAGCATGTCTTCGTCGCTCGCCCACACCTGCTGCTGCTGCTGCTGCTGCTGCTGCTGCTCAAAGACAGCAGCAACACTGCAGCAAGCAGCTGCTGCTGTTGCTGCTGCTGTTGCTTCTGCTGTTGCTACTGTTGCTGCTGCTGCTGCTGCTGCTGCTGCTGCATCCTCATACGCTTCTCCTGATGGGCTCTGGGGGCTCTCCTCCACCATCCCGTCTGCTGCCGCGCTCCTGCTGCTGCTGCTGCTGCTGCTGCAGCTGCTGCTGCTGCTGTTGCCCTGGCGGAGACGATCCCGGAGCGGGGATCGGATCCCCGCAGCTGCTGCTGTTGCTGCTGCTGTTGCTGCTGCTGTTGCTGCTGCTGTTGCTGCTGCTGTTTGCTGCAGCGGGAGGAGATCGATCCCCCCCTGGGTTTCTTCTCTTCTCTGTCTCTGTGCCCCCCCCCGGCCTCGCTGGCGGTGGCCCCTTGAAGAGCTGTGCTGCTGCTGCTGCTGCTGCTGCTGCTGGTGCTGTTGCTGTTGCTGCTTT